TGTGTTGGCAAGTGGTGAGGTCATTGATGCATGGCGAATCTCTTTAGCTTGCTGGCCTTGCTTGTGAGGTTACTCGACTAAAAGGGCAATTGAGCTTTCTATGGAATTCTGAGCATGCGAGGTGCTGCCAGGGCATGCGGGAAAGGAACACAGGACTCGTCACTTTGCAACCTGTGATGAGTGTGATTGCTGGTTCGATTAGCAACACTTATCTATTTTAGTTGTTTTGCACCTTTTTCGTTAGTTTGTTTATAGGTTGTATTGTGTCCCTTGGCTGCTTGTGTCTGGGTGTCTGGATTGGATGCACCCTGTGAGAGAGTCTCACGAATCTAACCATGACTCATCTGCCGAGTTAGGCAGCCATAACAATGGTCATGGAATAGTACTAGTAAAGATTTCACTAACGTAAAAAGGGGGCAAGTTATTGAGGTTCTCTTGGGAAGGGCTGCGTAATCTTGTGTGGCACGTTTTGGAATGTGTTCGTGATCAGTTTATTGGGTTTAGTCTTGTGCTTTATTGGTGGTTGAATATTGTCAAAGAGCTTGATATGTTGCTTTTGAAGTTTGGCTATTGTAAGGGGGACTCATGCTACTATATACATTATGAGCTGGTTGGGAACATTGTATTATAGGAACACTTGCTTAGGAGAAAAGCCCAACGCATTGTACAATATAGGCCTTCATGGGGGCATTGTATATTAGAGAAACCAGGGTCGGGACTTGAGAAGGAGTAGAGCATATTAGAGGTGGCCACCCGGATCCGTTAATAGCGGACAGAGGTTAATTTCCGTTAATTACCGTTAATTAACGGAAAATAACGAAAAAAGACAAAAATTAACCAAAAATTAACGGATTTTTGGATTTTTTGGGGATTTTTGGGTTTTATTCATACTTATAGTTTATGGAATTCGCTATTAGAGAGTATGTTTGTATTTTATTTCAACCTATGCATACTAGATTTTCAACTAGCCGTAGTTGTTGTGATTTTTTGGGTTTTTTTTCGATTTTTTTGGATTTTTTTCGTTTTTTCTGAATTTTTCTCCCTTTTTCTTTAACGGAATTTAACGGACAGCTGATAAAAATTAACGAACCGGACTTAACGGACCGGATGGCATCTTTGAGTGGCCACCTCTAGAGCATATTAGAAGTGACAGCTCGGGTGTTTCCCAATACCGTGAGCAAAGAAGGAAATACTGGAGAGAAAGCACCGTGTTGGTTAGCACGGTAAGAATGGGTCTCGGGAACCAATGGGTCGGTGAACAAAAGAATAAGGGATAAGTAAGTTCAAATTAAAACCTGGCGGGTATACCATAAATAGAATAACTCACCCTATTTGTAATGCATGTACTTGACAGGTGCCCGTACTGCAGGATCAACCCCATAATCCCTTGGAGTGTACTCCACCACATGGTGGAGTATACAATATGGGCCCATATCCTATAGTAGTATATGGCCCAATTAAGGTATTGTTACTATATCGTAAGTAGGGTGTCCCCCATACTAGGAGTCCGTAGTAGGGCGTCCCCCATATGAGGCCTATTTACATAACATTATTGAAGCGTTATCTGCCAAAAAACATGAAAGAGAATAGAAACCTGATAAAGTTTCTTGGCCATCCTAGTTCAGAATCGCACTGATGCAATCGAATGCACGCAGAGATGCATCACAACACACTCCACTCATGTATGCCATCAGGCACACACAATCATAGCCCAAAGCGGTTGCAACCGCTTGGTTACAACAAAGTGGTCACCAAACAAATTGGGGCTCTGTGTAAGTGCTCAAAAATACCTTGTTTTTTTGCCCACAATATTTACACTCAGAAACAAAGAGTGAACTAAGAATTGTTCCTGTGTGCCCTAGTTTGCTATGTCACAAATCTAATTCAACAATCATGTACTAACCCTAATTTATGACTTGACTTGAAAGTTTTAGAAAAATCCCGAATTGCATCACAAACTTCAATCCCTGGATTCAATGTCTTTCATTAATGCCTAAACATTAAAGTCATTATCCCTTTGAATCATGTCTACAAGTTCCTCGTCAAGCCAGTTAGCTGACGGCAACATAGGCCCAATTCTAGATTCAAGCCGTTCCTCTAACAGTAATTCTGATGCAATATTTTGATTCCCTACTTGTGTCATCTCTTTTGCGTAAGCTGGTCCAGTTATCCAGCCCACCTCTTCCTCCGGCTTCACTTGCATGCCAATGCTCTTGTGCATTGGGCTGCCACATAGCCGCTCGGCTTTGTGACTTCCCACGCGGCTATTGGTCGGCGGCTACAACGCGCTCGCCGTGGCTCCCTTGCCTGGTCCATGCCATGGCGCAGCTTGAGAATCCGTTGGCAACATCACCGACGGAAGGTTGACCTGCCCTTTGAGCTCGATGCCTGCCATGGCACAAGCCCTGATCGTAGTGCGAGCTCTCTTTTTATGGAGGACGTTCTTCCATTAGTGCTTGCCCACTACTTTCTTACACACTCCAACTTGTTGCGTCTTCAGAAAGGCAAAAGCACGTTGCTCCATGGTCCCAAATCTGGGATTTCGAATGGGGCACTGCAAGGCAAATCTTCCCACCAATGACCCAAAGCATCTTGGGCAGATTGGCTTTCGCTGAGGCCACGCAGGTGCACACATCCACCCAGTGATCTGAGACACCTGTCCGCTACCTTCTGAACAAAGTCCTCATTTGAACGGTGGAGGAGCTTGCCCCGTTTCTCCCCCAACCAGCCCGCCATTCTGGCATCGTTCAATATACTCGATCCATCGACCGCCAATGTTCACTGCCTCCCAAGGAAACAAGAAAGTCACTGTCACCTAAAAACCTTTGGCGCCATTTTCATACAGCACAAAGTAAAGATGTTTGCGGGGCAGCTGTCCATCCGCCATTCTGGCTAGTTCACTAAGGACGCACGTCAGCCAGCACATCAATGGCTACCTGCCCGACATAGTAGTTTTATCCTTCTTTGTATCCAACACAGTGCTCCTGGGTCTGACGGCACCATACCGCATTACTTTTTAAGAAGTCTGTTCGAATTACTAGTAATTGACAAGTGATCTGCCTTTGTCAATTACTGATTTGCAACCCGATGAGTAAATGGTGGCATAAGAGAATCCCGTTTCGAGGAATGCCATCAACAATATCTTTGAATGGCTGTCACCTTTTCTCGATGTTTCACATGCAACTTTCTAATTTTCAGAACTGGAGGTCGGTGGCTCAACACCGATGTGAAGTGAAACTCAATGAGAGAAGTGAATACATGTTTAAAGAGATGAATGTCTGACACACCAAGATAGCCGTAGCTTCCATGTTGTGCAAGCACCTGTTCATGTGTTGGCTGACTGGTGCACACATTGACCTGATTGAGATGGCAGGAGACCGGCTGGCTAGCAATCAGCTTTAATCTTACTAATTTTGGTGATCATAAGTTGGTATTGCGGGTTGGAGCTGTGGGTTGGAGCTGTGGGTTGGTGCCGTGGGGTCGATGCTAGGGGACGGTGCTGTGGGGTAGCGTGTTGTGCGTGTGTGAAGTGTGAGTTCAATCCGGCACTCTAAGTGTGAGCGCTGGTGGGCAAAAGAAGCGCCGCATTCTGGTACATAAAGAGAGCTCGGTACTGTTCATGGCTTCTCTTGGTGTGGTTGTAAGACAAGTGGAGTCTTGCCTACTTGTCCGACCATGCACGGCAAGTGCGTTTGAGCACCGCGTGCACCAAGGTTGCCACATAGGTCGAACCAAGTCGGTTTGACTTGTGCTGCATTGTGGCCCATCGCTGCGTGCATCCGATTGCAAAGGAGCGGGACCTGGAACCGGGATGGCTGAGGAACTTTGACAGAGTCATACGACAGCACGGCAGTGCCGTCACATTCTCATTCTTCGCGTTGGAATTGTAGTCAGACCAACTTTCCTTCAGTCTGACTCACAGCACGGTTCTCAATTTTCTGGTTGAGTTTCACCACCTCTCGGTGTTTCATCACCGACCGCAAGTGGAAGTGAAAAATAGTGAAAACGCTGGTGAAAGCCAATCATATTGGTTGTTCATCAGGAATTTCCTTAGATGCCGTCAATGTATTGTAATTATATTACAGATCGGTAATTGACGGATCCGATTTAGTGGTGAAGTACTAATAATCCGAACAAAACCAACATTCAGAAAATGAAGACAGAAAAGGAGCTCAGAAAAATGAAGTAAAACTCAAGTCCGAGTTTATGCCATTTTGCCCAGGCTGAAGATGAGTTGTTTGTTCATCTGATGTGCTCCATAATATATCTGATCCGCTGTATCAAGCTTCCTGCACTACGCGTTTACTTTGAACGCCAGCTCATCAAATATGAGGTGCAGTGGCGTTTTCCATGTATTGGCACACCAACAACTCCAGGCTTGTTTCCGACCATGGCATGTCGGATCTTAATGCATCATATTCTTAGCACAAGCAAATGTGTTTTCTTTGGTTTTTATCGCGACCGGTCTCTTCCAAGAGCACTGGAGCCGTTGCAGTGCTACAGGAGGAGATGTGGGTATACAGCCAATGCACAAAAATTACAATTTAGGAGACTTAAGCGCGTGACAGAACATTGTAGAATGGCGCTCACGTCCTGCAATGTGCGGTGTAATGTACCCAACACTGCACCGGTTGCACTGTGTCGATGCAGCGCCTGCGTCGCTTCGCAGCATGTGCTCCCGCCCTCCCACAGACGCCCAATCCCAACACACCATGCGCCTACCCCACGGGAAGGCCGCTACCAACACTCCACCATCACACATCCCACAGGGCACCTCACACTGGCAAGCCATGAAGCTGGCAGGAAACAGCACCCTGCTCCAATTTCCAGAACCCCCTGCCGCCACCATACGCTCCCAAGTGCCTTCTGCGGGGCTTGCCTCTGGCCCTGCTGGCCCAACCCCCGCGGCTCCCCTTCCCCAGCCGCCCCCCCACCGAACCTCCCGGGAGGCGGCCCCGCCACCCCGCCGGCCTGGCCCGGCCGGGCAGGGCGCGTCCACGATGGACTACGACATGAACGACGTGCAGTATTCGCTGATCCTGAGCAACGAGATCGCCACCGTGGCCACCGCCCTGCGCCAGAACTCCAAATGGGCCTTCGTGGCGTCGCGCTACGACGACGAGGAGCAGCTGGACGACCCGCTGCTGGAGGAGTTCCTGTCGCTGCGGCAGAAGGTGATGTACTGGGGCAACTGGGCGCTGGTGGACCCGCTGGAGTACCTGTCGCCCTTTCTGGAGGCGATCAGGAGCCAGGAGGTCAGCGGGCCCATCACCAGCGTGGCGCTGTCCTCGCTCATGAAGCTCCTCACCTCCAACGTCATCAGCCCCGCCACCACCAACTCCGCGGAGGCCATCCGGCGGATCGTCTCCTCAGTGCGGGAGTGCAGGTTCGAGGGCACGGGGTCCTCTGCGGACGAGGCGGTCCTGCTGCGCATCCTGCAGGTGCTGGTGGCGGCGGTGCGCAGCGACGTGGGCACCCTGCTGGCCGCGCGCGACGTCCAGGACATTTTTCTGACCATGATCCAGTGGTGCGAGGTTGGGGAGGGCACCCCGGGCAGCGAGGTGTCCGGCGTGTTCACGCAGTCCTCGCGGCAGCTCCTGGGCGAGATGGTGGGCGCGCTGTTCGCGCGGCTGCGGCTCAGCAGGATGGGCGAGCTGGGCGGGGTGGACGCGTGCAGGGGCAGGCCCAAGGGGTCGCCCATGTCGGGGTCCAAGTCCGTGAACAGCGACATGTCCAAAGGCGGCCGGTCGGCCTCCGGTCACTCCGCCTCCAAGTCGGACGCCAGCGCGGCGTCCGCGTCGATGGGCGCCCCGCTGTTGATGTTCGGGATCGAGCCGTTCTGGGAGATTTTCCGCTACCTCATCTCGCTGGCCAGCACGGAATCGAGGGGGCCGGGCGCGGACGACGTGGTGCTATTCGCGCTGCAGCTGATACACACGTCCATCGTGAGCGGGGGCGAGGCGCTGGCGGACCACAGGGGGTTGCAATGCATCATGCGGCAGCACCTGTTCATGGCCCTCACGCGGGCCCTCAGCCGGGGACACCAGTCCATCCAGTCCGCCGTGTTCCAGGTGAATGTCCTCACACAGAGTAGAAGCATCTCGGGCGTGTTCCTTCTGCTCAGAACACGATCTTTGCAAAGGAGCAGGTCACTCCTTTGCTTGGCAAAGTGAGCTGGGTGATCTGTTCCTCTTGATGATGGCATTGAAACCTCTGAATACAAGGCAACCACAATGGCCATCAGGAAGTTTGGCCAACGCATTCCAGGCGAAGTTTCGCAACTCATCACGAGGGGAAAATGCATCATACAGTGGGTGCCACCCTTGTGTGGAACGTTCCATCTCTGGCTCTGAGGTTTCTGGAATCCAATGTGCAGGTGGTTCTGGCGATGTACAAGCTGTTTGGGGACCGCATCCTGCTCCAGCTGGAGTGCTTCATGCAGAGCTCCTTGCTGCGCCTGTGTGAGGGCAAGGGCTGCCAGAGCCAGGAGCACCAGGAGGTGGCCCTGGAGGCCCTGCTGGACTTCTGTGGCTACCCTGGCTTCCTACACGACATGTACCTCAACCTGGACTGCCGCGTGGAGCGTTCCAACCTCTTTGAGGACATCTGCTCCCTCCTGTCCAAAACTGCCTTTCCCGTGAAGTCGCCCTTGGGTGCAATCCACATGATTTCCCTGGAGGGCCTGCTGGCGATGCTGTACTCCCTCTCGGCGCAGTGCTGCACAGATGGCACCACGGCCCAGCTCCCCCCTGAGCCCAAGGCCGAGCTGCCGAACTACATCGACATCTGGGGCAACCTGCTGGAGGGCCGGTCCCCAGGCCTGGAGGTTTTCATCAACGAGGTCAGCACCAGTGGCAGGGACCAAGTGGACGCTGGTGTGCAGCTCATACGCCTGGAGAAGGCGATCAAGAGGCGGGTGTCAGTTGCAGCAGACCACTTCAACAAGGACTTCAAGAAGGGTTTTCAGTACATGCAAGCGATGAAGCTCCTGCCAGACAAGGAGGACTGCACGGCCATCGCGCACTTCCTGCGTGTGTGCCAGAATCTGGACAAAACCATGATTGGGGAGCTGCTAGGGGAGAGCGACGATTTTTACAAGCAGGTGCTGCAGGAGTTTGCTCAGTCGTTCAGGTTCCAGGACGTGCCGTTCGACCTGGCCCTGCGCATGTTCCTGGACACGTTCAAGGTCGGCGGGGAGGCACAAAAGATCGACAGGGCCATGGAGAACTTTGGCCGAGTGTATTACAAGACTCAGGTCAATGGGCTGATGGCGAGCTCTGATGCTGCCTTCACCCTGGCGTTCTCCATCATCATGCTTAACACTGACCTGCACAGCAGTGGTGTCAAGAAGAAGATGACCATGGAAGAGTTCGTGAGGAACAACAGGGGGATCAATGACAATGAGAACTTCCCCAGAGAGTTCCTGGAGAGCCTGTACAGGTCGATCAGCCAGAACCCAATCAGGCTGCAGGACACGTCAGCTGGCGAGGTGCCCATTGTGCGGTGGCTGGTACTCGACCAGCAGAGCGAGACGGAGAGGGGGAGGATGCTGCGTACCAATGACAGGGAGCTCAAGGGGGGCCACGCTCTGGACAGGGATATGTTCAGCCTCATCTGGGGCCCCACTGTGGCTGCGGTATCTGTTGTCCTGGACCAGGTGAGGACTGAATGATTTTGTCCTTGAGGGTGAAGTGAAAACAACGCACTTGTCACTGCAGATGTTCCAACCCAATGCAGGTAGTTATGTGAGGTGTGCAACTCTGGCAAAGAAAACAGATGAGGAAGACTGTTTGGGGCTGTTCTCAGTGTCAACCCTTGTTTTCCATTGTAGGCAATAATAACAAGTCATAGCAAGGCATTTGAATTGGGATGAAGGGCAGAGGATTATGGACAATATGTGTTCGTGGGATACTGGCACTGGTGCCATCTCCTATCCAGAGAGCATAGGCTGCACATACGCAGATTGTGTGCACAAACTGAGCCTAATAGTTTGAAGCTATTTTCATGGAAACACATCTTTTGAAGAAGAAACATCCTGTTGTCCAAAGCTGCATGGTGCAGAATGGGAGGCATCAACGGAAAGGACATTTATGGAAGAGGTGCACTGTGCATGGCATGCCATGCGCTCTTTGCTGCGCCCGATGAGGCGCATGTGGCACCAAAACAAGAACTTGACACATTGATGGTAGAATCGCAGCTGTGATCCCATTGAATTTGTTTTGTCCAAGCTGCAAACTGCCTGGCGGCTTTTAGAGCGATATGTGCAGAAATCCTTGGTGACATCGCATTTGAAACTGCCCCTGGCACTGCTACATGAGCACAGCAGGTGGCAACTCTCTGCAGCTTGGTGCATTTGTGGGTGTTGCACGAGCATCCACATGCAGACCCCTCTAAACTGTAACAAGGTGACTTGGTGCCTGTGAGGGCCAATGTGATGGCAGTAAGCCTTCCCATGTCACCATTATCATTGTGCATTTGCACAGACGTCTGACCTGTGGTTGAGATATGGTGCCCTTGTGCAGGCTGAAGATATCACCACTGTCCAGACGGCTTTGACAGGTCTGAAGTTGGCAGCCAAGATCGCTTCTTACTATCGTGTGGATGAGGTCATAGACAGTCTTGTCGTCACCCTGTGCAAGTTCACCATGCAGCTGGCACCTGGTGCCATCAAGCCCATGGTAAATTTTGGCCACAACAGCAAGGCCCAGGTGGCCATGGAGACAGTCTTCTTCGTGGCCAGCAGGTACTGTGGGTTGATCAACTTTTGACAGGAATCCGTTTATTTGGATGGGCTGGGCATGGTGTGGGAATATGCCAGTCAAAATGCCATCTTTCCGATGTGTAATGGCAGACACAATTGCTTGACGATTGGGCTGCCATCATTCAAATATGCAATCACAGCCGTATAGGCACAGGAATTGGAATGGATGTGCAGATAGCTTCCGATTCTTTTTCTCTGTGCTTGAGCTGCCACTGGAGCCACACTGTGTCAACACAGTTGAGCCAGGTCCATGTCATGGCGACTGGTTTGGATCTGCTACAGTTGTCTGTGTTAGCAAGCACTTGTGTATTTTTGTGAGTTAGTGTTGGTGCACTGGAGACTGACGTCAATGTGTGAATTTACCCATCGTTCTTTGGAGTTCCAGCAGCAATTCAAATGCACAGTGTATGAATGCCCTGAAGCTCTGTCTTTTCGATTCACGTACTCAGGTATGGAGTGAGTTAGTGATGGTGCACTGCAGACTAATGTCAATGTGTAGATTGATCCATTGGTCTTTGGAGTTCCAGCAGGAATTCAAGCCATGTACACTGTGTGAATGCCCTGAAGCTCTGTCATTTCGATTCGCCTGCTCAGGTATGGAGACAGTTTGAGGGCTGCTGGCTGGCGCAGCATAATGGACCTGGTCGTGCGGCTTTACCGCCTTGGTCTCCTTCCAAACACGTTTTGGCAGGAGGCCAATGGTTTGCCAGAGGAAGAGGGGAGATCGCCTGAAACAGAATCGGTCAAAATGACCTCTGACTCAGGTATGGCTGCATTCACCCCAACTGTTGAGTAAGACAAAGTTTGGAACCTCAAACCTTCAATGCGTTGTTCAATGGATTTGTACGCCATAGTTGTTGGCATGCAGGCACCCAGGTGCATCCTATGCGCCGAATGGCGTGGTGGCCACCTGTGGCTGAGGATTGCATCCCTGTCAGCAGCAGGCATGATAAGAACGATGTTCTGTTACAGGATCATGTTGGGGCTGAATTTAAGACAAAAAGACAAAGTGGTTATCCTGAATGTGTGCAGATTTATGCGCTTGGGTAAGTGAATATCCCTCAGGGCGTAAATGCGTAACTCACTGGTTTGCTGTGAAACTCCAGAGACTGGACTTGTTGATTAAAGTGAAAAGAGTGATACATTGGAGCACCACTTCTTATCAGGGATGATGAGTTGGGAAGCGTTCTGTACTGCGGCAATTAGGGTCCACAGCCGATGATGCTGGCTCGGAAAAATATGACACAGCAAAGCAAGTGGCTGGAATGAGAGCATCACACCTCAGGAGTGTTCCCAGGAAGAGAGACAGATTTCGACACAGTATGTTCCAAGCATGAGAACACAGCATCGCATGGTGCAGATATAGCAAACATACTTCACCAGCATGCTTGCAGAAGAGAACTGTCTTTGCCCAGCAGAATATCCACACCCTCATAATATCCAGCACAACTCTGGGGCTCAATAGTATGGGCTCCATACGATGTTGATGTCCTTAACCAGCAGTCTTATCCATCGCTTCCTTCTGGTGTCCTGCATACAGATTCTAACAGTGAGTAGTCATGGTGGTATACTTTCTGACCCAAAGATGTCTGTATCACAAAACAAACACCGAATATATGCCACATCCAAATTCGTCATAAGAGCAGGTAGTGGGTCTCATGTTGGAGAATCTCTTTCATCAAGAGTGGCCTGGGCTCTTTTTCTGCTTTCCTTTTGGCAGAGCGCTACCTTCTGATCAACACGACAGATTGTGGCCAGATTGTGGCGATCTGGTGCAATGTTGCTTCACTTCAAACTGTGCCTATTGTACTTGCGCACATTGTCCACTGGTTTCTTCTGACTGCGAATTGTGAGACAGAAACCTGGGTCATACATCAGACAGGATTCTGCCATCGCTTATTTTAGTTGTCTGCCTTGGGCCATAGCCTATTCTCTTCATCATGGTGATAGGGCAGCCAGCCCAGAAAAGTCCCCAACAGTAAGTCAACAGCTCACATGCCACTGCTGAACACATACTAATAGACGCCTTCAGAGTCCTGGCAGTTTAAGAGGACCTCAGAATGGTTGTCAAGAACCTCCACACCAGAAGAGCAGGCAGAGTTCTCAGGTCCCCAAGCAGTGGAATGAGAGGATGTTGTTATGGTGCGCGGAGCGGCATCCACTGTCAGCCTGAGATTCTGCTTGTGTTCTGGTGCAGGGGATTTGAGCAGCTATGCCACGACCAGCCTCTCACGCCTGTTCATGTCTGGCGGCGCTGAGAAACAGTTGACAAGGGAAGAACAGGAAGCGCAGGAGCGCACTGTTCGATGTGTGGAGCATTGTAGGATTGATGAGCTCTTTCTGGATACCAAGTTTCTCCAACCGGAGCCACTCCTGGAGCTTGTCCGTGCAGTCACCTGGGCCTCAGGTTTGTGTGTGTTTATCATGTGTCTCAGTCGTGTGTGAACGTTGAAGTGCACTGTGTTACCATCTGATGTGTTATCAACTTGTCTACTTACTGTGTACATATATAGTGGACGAACCACGATCTGTACTCCATACCTCAGGATGAAGCCAGGAGTGAATAGAATAGCTGTCACAGGACAATCAACTGTGCATGAATTCTTGCCGAGCATTCTTTGCTCAGAATTCTTGTGTGTGGGCTCCATTCTGTCATAGCAATCCTGGTACAGGCCAGATGAGACAGGGCCGCTTGCTCATTCCGTGTTTCCACAAGGTGCATGCGTCCATCACCGAGGGAGCTTGACCAGGGCATGTTCTGTTTAGTGTTCCTGACATTGCAAATAACATTTGGCTCATTGTGCTTTTGCGTGGAGATTCAAAACCTATACCAATGGTTGAATTGATTGACTTGGGTCTGTGGCCAGCTGTGTTCCTGCACTTTATCCTTTAAACTCTCCAGGTGGATTGGATTATGAGACAAAACATATGTCCAGGTGCATGTGAGTGTTAACTCGTGCTGAAACCAATTGTGGAACCACAATCAGGTGATATCACACGCTGCATATTCCGATTACTGCAATCCAGTCCAGTAGTTTTGTGGAGGCCAAGGACCTATTGTGGCCTCTCCAAGTAACTGCCCTGAAAGTCACTCCATCAGTGCTCCTTAGTGGGTGTATGTGGGTTTGTTCTGTACTGCACATTACAACAAGTGTGGCAACATGTGAATGCTGAAACTTGATGTGGCTTGCTTGGCTTCCAAAATAGATAGGTCTGTCGTGGCTGATTGGCATCCAATGTGGCTGCCTTGGCAGGGAGCGCGCCACGCCAAATCAACGACGAAAAGACCTCTGTGGTGTGCCTGGAGCTCATGTTTTCAGTCACTATCCGCAATCGCGATCGTATCAACAAGCTGTGGCCTCTGGTCCATGACCACCTTAAATCGGTGATCATCCCTTCAGACAGGCCTATATCCAAGACACTGGTTGAGGCAGGTGTGCTGGGGCTGCTCCGCGTTTGCCAGCGAATCCTTGTCTACAAGCCTGAGGTTGCGGACTTGCTGTTGACGAGTCTTCAGTTTGTGCGCAATTTGGACTCGGAGATGATCAGGGAGATGGCAGAGAAAGTAGCGACGGAGGTGTTGGCTCTCATCAAAGGTGCCGCCTCATTCATTCACCAGGTGAGTGCCTGCACTCAGCGAGTGCTGAGTGGCGCAGTGCTGATCTTGGTTTGTGCCGCAATGGCAAGGGTGCAGGATTGGCTGTGAGCAGAACCTGGGCTTATACATGAAATTATGGCTGTTGCTTTTCTGTCTTTATTGACCGGCGCATTAATCTAGCTGGATTATGACAGCCTCAATATGGCAGATTGATGTTCTGTGGCTTTGGTTTGAAATATGCTCAGATCATGGTGGGGTAGTGCATGTTGATCATTGATCTGCCCTTGTGCAGATCAAAACACGTTGTGGCGAATGTGTGCATTTCCACTGTTGAGGATCAGAATGCAGCGCATTGTTTATAGGTGACAAAGCCGCATATAGGATTGTCCCGATGGGAGCCTTTCTGATTGTTTGTTAGCCAATGTTGGCTTGCTCAGCTGACCAATGCTGTCCTCATGTGCAAGAAAACATTGTTGGGAGTCACAGTTGTGCACGCTGCTGAATCCAACTTGTGCACTCGAACATCCAGAACCCATGACCACATTGTTCTGCTTTGGGAGCAGTGTATGTGCCGATTTCTGTGTTGCCTGTGGGAATCAATCAGGGTTGGGCGTGGAGCACGATATGCCTTTTGATCATCTTGACAGCTGCTTCGCCCCCCGCATTCAAGACGGCTCTGGATGCCTTCATACACATTGTAAAAGATGGCGCACATCTCACCCCTGTGAACTTCTCAGACTGCCTGTCAACGGCCCGCTCGTTTGTTGAGCGCACAGCGACCCACCAGCCTGACAGAGCCATCCAGGTGTTGGACCTGATGGGGGACATGGTTGTGTGGCTACCATCGTGGAAGTCGTCACAGGGTGAGAGGCGCCTAGGGTACCCTGCACCCCCAGAGAAGGGCTTGGATCGCGCCCAGTGTTGGTCGGACGTCATCAAAGCCCTGTGCAGCTTCTCCAGCCAGGAGTCCGCCCCACAGGTAGGCCGCCCTGTCGGATGCTCAGAATTTCTGGCTGGGCATGAGTCCAGGGCCAGAGGTGACTGCGTTTGGACAGCGAGATCAATGCAGGACCAGCCGGTGCAACACAGTTGACAGTTAGCAGGCTTGTATCTATCGATGCCTGGTGCGCAAGTGATGTGAATGCATGCCGGTCACATGCGGCCGGTAGTGTGTTGCCTCAGCTGGATGAATGCAGCAGGAGAATTGGGCAACAGGCCTATTGTGCAGAACAGTGGAAAATGCTAGTTATGCATGGTGCTGGCGCATTTCACTTGTTGTCTGTGAGTTCTGCTGTGGAATTGAGCTGTCAGCACAGAGTCAGCTGAGAAGATGCCCAAGGTGTAGATTGTGTGGGTGAATGCACAACAGTACTTGACTACGATGGTGGTCGACACGTCAATTGTTGGTGTGGGTTGCTGCTTGTTGATGTGGACCATTCTCTGTCAAGGCAACCACACACGAGCATCCGCAGGATATGCAACAGGCTTCAAAATGTTCATCGTTGCCTGGGAATACCTGCACATTGCAGAGCACCCATGTCGCACGCTTATCTCTTGGGCTTCCCTCTTTTTGTCGTGACTCGCCTGTTGTCCCCGCCCTTACGTCTGCTGGTGTGGCTGTTCTGTAGGTGCGCAACCATGCAGCTGTGAAGCTCCACAACGCTATTATCATGGGTGAGCAGCTGCAGCTGGACGCCCAGCAGTGGGGCGCCGTCCTGAAATACGAGCTGATCCCTCTTGTTCAAGCTCTGATAACACGAGAGAAGGCATGGGATGTGGAGGAGAACTTCCAAACAGTCAAGCTGGCTGTCAAGACGCTCTCCAAGACCTTCTTGCAATTTTTGAACCTGCTCCAGAAGCTGCCAACATTCTCTGCGATCTGGCTGGAGATGTTGACTGTGCTCCAGGTGAGTCCCTGCAGATACTGATGGGGAGGGGACTGTATGCAGGTAGCATATTCCTGGCAGGGAGGATCTGGAAGAGATTGTGTCTAGTCTGGACATTACTCACAGCTGTTATTAGCCATCTACTCAATTGTTCAGCACATGGGGTGAAGCCCGTGTACAAAGGGATCTGCTGTATGGATGTGCATTTATTGCATGTCTGCTGTTGTTGGCTCCCTTGATGGCACAGTGCCTGGCCGTGCTGCATAGTTGTGCGTGTTGGACACACGGTCCACTGCCTTTTGGTAGAATCTAGCTGAGCCATGGTCACAGTGCATCACAGTAAGTCACAAGCATGTTGCAAGGCCCTAGAGAATCAGCTTGCCCTCGGAGTGAGGCAACTGGGAGAACACGCACTTGTGACAATGGGTGTGATCTGAATATCTGATCGTGCACACTGTTCCCAATGCCTTGCATGCCACTGATAGAAGGATGGGCTTGTTCTCCCCTGCACACCTGGAACCAAAAAGGATGGAGAATGTTGAGAGCATGAGCTGTGTACAGGGACAAGCTCTGTGTTGCTGTCCAAACAGACCATGATACCTACTGCTAGTAGAATTTGTACACATTCATGTTAGCATGCGATGGCAGCATGCGAGAGCCATTGGAAACATGCACTGCGCGTAGTGATGCCTGTTAGTGCCATGTTTGTGGATGACTTTTCCATTGTCCCAGATATCACACAGTAAGATATTGTCCAAATGCCAGCCAAGGCAATGGCAGTTGTTATGTTAGAGCTGGGCTACTTGTCCAATGCTTCCTTGCTGGCTGGATTCCCACCCTAAAGGCCAGCTTTATCTTAAGAATTTCGCCAGGTCGGGTTAGCGCCATCCCTGCCTGATCTGATACTGTACCACACCATCATTGTAACTTTATAGCGTTGTCGTTGAGCAACTCCATGCGCATGATGAACTTGTGAATCATTTGATGCATGAACATATGAGGACCCTTCCTGACGCATTGTTCATGCTTGCTCTCTTCTTCTCGCAGAAGAGCTGCTACCGGCATAACGAACTGGCCGAGTCTGTCCCCGAGGATGTGAAGAACATGCTTCTGGTCATGGCCAAAGAGGGCGTGCTCACGCAGGACTGGAAAGACTCCAAAGGGAAGAATCTTTGGGAAGCGACTTGGCGGGAAGCCCAACGAATTTCATATGCATTGACACCCAAAATTCTTGTTAGCTGATAGAATCGGTGCTGGAGACTGTTTTGTGCTGGCGATGCGGCTCATGGCATGCGCAGACGTGTGGCAGAGCTGTAACACTCAGTCGCTTGACCAACAGATGGGGGTTCTTGCCAGTAGACTAGTTGCTATGATTCAATGGTGATTCGAATGGATGCAGGGTGCATACGCATGCTGCAGTGAGTGGGTTTGTGACCTGCCAAGTCGATAGCCCTTATGCCCTGAAAATGTGCACCTTCGATGCCTTGGTGGGCAGTTCGGACGAATGGACTAGTGGGCCAAGAGCTGCATTGGCGAACAGGTAATGTACCCCTTGTCAGATTCAGCCCATTTTGCGCGAGGGCGGGTGTGTGGGCGCCGTACCATAGCCGCTGGGGTTGCAGGAGTGGCTGGGGTCGCGTCAAGCATATAGACTTGTTTCAAGAATGTCTGACGTTTATTGCCATTGCTGAACTGCAGTCTGCCAAGGGATGCATGGAAAGTGCAGATGCAGATGGTGACATGGTGGCCCTGCATTTGCAGGATCACCTTGTTGCACTTGCGGGTTGCCACATCTTTTTCTGCTATATTACAGCATATATGCAGTCTTTGTGCTCATCGTGAAGGAGGAAATTTTGTCAATGGAATGTTCAAGGTGAATTCGACTCTATGTGTATGAGAAGAAGTGAGTGCTTCGGCCTTGGCGATCGATAGATTAAGACATACTGATTGTATAAGAGGTTCATGCACTCAGAATTGTGGCTCTCAACAATTTCAGCCAAGAATCGCCCGCTTGGCATCAACAGTCAGATGCTCAGACACGTGCACCTGTGCACAAGTCCTGTGGTGAAGCGTGGACCCAGGTAAATGCCCCGCCTGTTGGCTAGACTACCCCACAACCAAGCAGGGAAGCCATAGCTTCAATGCCCATTCGCTGCAGAGAAGATGGACAGAAACAGCTTCTCAAAACAAACGATGAAGCCCCCAATCCCCAGGTGCCACAGTGGATGGCACTGATTGATTTCTGGGACACCTGGAACACAGGCGAATGGGCTAATTTGTATCCTGAATGCACTGAACAAAGCCTGAGGAATGAACTGAACGATGTTTGGCACAAAGTGCGCAGGTGCTTCTGGGGATTTGAGTTGCCCTTGTCTTGGGTATCACAGTGGGCCGTTGATGGCCAAATGCAAATGGATTGGACCAATTCACACGGCGAAAGCGTATCACATGGTGTGATGACACTCCACCATTCCCTCAGACAACCGAGCACAGTAACCCACGGCCAGAATGAACGAAAGAATTCAGTACGGTCGTCGCCCATTCCAGGCGTTTTCCGTCGCGACGATCAGTTCCTCCACCCGCCCTCCAGCAGCGCCTCTCCCACGCATTCAGCCGGCGCCCGGAAACTCGCATCCGCTATCCCGGCTTCAGAATGCCGGCAATCCGTCCGCCCCAATCAGCAAGCACGCCTCCCATTTTCCCTGTCTCGCACGGGCATTTCAACACCCTAAAACTGGAAAAACCGAAAACGAAAAACCGGATAAATGCTGCGCCAAGCCAGCGCCGCCCTTCGGTGCGCAGCCTCCCCGCCCCGGGCTTTATTGCGCCGCCTCCTCGGGCGTCCGCGTCGTCATGGCGTCCACGGCATGCACCGCATCCTGCAGCTCTAGCCAGATCGCCTTGTACACCATCCGTTGCCGCTCCACCGCGCTCTTGCCCTCGAACGCCGCCGACACCACCTCTATGGCCACGTGCTGCCCGTCGCCGTTCACGTCCCTCACCTCGACCCGGTCCGTGCCCAGCACGTCTCCGATCTTCGCTCGCATGCTTTCCATCAGCTCCCGGGACATCTTGGCTGTGGCCGGGTCGGGCTCGGGCACCATGCCCGGCCCACTGACATGGATAGCCAACGGCGGCTTGGGCCGTCGATCGGATCTGGGACGGGCGAGTATCGTCTGCTTGAAGGGGAGGCGCGCCGGGCCCGTGAGACCAAGAGGGCAATGATGAGCTCTGGGGAGCATGGACTGAGGCCCCCTGTGGAGCGAGCACCTGTGCATGGTGGCCGCGCGGGAGGGCCTGGGGGAAGGCCGGCGGCGCTTTGTGGGGGGCCCGTTCAGGCCCAGAGGTTGCGCGAAACACGAGTGGAGAATTGGGCGCGGTGTTGGGTGTTGGGGCTTGTAGCGGGCGAATGTGCAGTTGTTGCGTAACCCTGTTTTCGTTTTTGTCATCGCCAACGTCACATTCTACACCGCCAGCCAACCATTGTTGTCTTGGAGCAGCGACAGTGATAGTGATGAATTCATCGACTTTCGAACAAGGAGCGTGAAGTTTGAGTGGAATCAACCTTTTTGTGCGAGTCGGTAGATCTGAACGGCGCCAGGGAAAGGGACAAGCTTTTTGTACGTAATGTGCCCGTACTTCGACCGCAGACTGTTTGTGCAGCACGCACACACAAGTGTTTTTACACCAATGGAACTGAAAGGAATTAGTTAGTGCATGTATGTTTACAACCACCAACGTCCCATTTCCGCAGTCCATCGTTCAAGCCTCCATCCCTGCGATCCTCTCCCCATACACAACATTCACAAAAAGGTTCTCCTGCAGCGTTCAAGAGAATTTCAAAGCGCGCCCTGCAACACAAGACAACTTACACACCAGTGGCGTTCTGAGGCGCAGCACCTGCGCCCATTCCCATGGGGAATCCAGCTATCACAGTCTGCATCCATCTGCAAAAGGGGCACCACACCCTCATGTGTCTGTTCTTAACAATTTTCCCCGCAATCCACACCCCACATTCGCCAGCCCCTAAAGTGAACAAATGAAAGCCTGGTGCGAAAACTCACAAGTCTCCCACGAACATCCCTTGACAACCCTGGGTTACCTATTTGACCAGACAGAGGTCCAGTCAGAGACTGGCATCTCAAGCACCCACCCATCAGCCCCCGGGCATTAATATGGCGCTGGCCGCTGAGCAGGCCTCCCTCGTCTCTCCGGCCCACCAGTAGATCTGGACAGCTCGTCACTGTGAGTCCCACTGGCCCCAAAGTCCCATCGCCTCCCCATAGCACCAAAATTGTCGTACGCACTGTCCGCCTGCTGACTCTTGGTGCGTCTGTGCTGCGACATGGCGATTCTGCTCTCGAACCCTCCACAACAATCCCCATTGTAGGAGTGCCGGTGCTCCAGCCCATCCCCTGTCTGCCCTGAGTAGTCAGTCAGCCTCCACTCCCCATCACCGTGTGGCATGCCCACCTGCCAATCAGGGTGGGCAGCATGTGATCGCTGGCCAGCATCACTGTTCGAGCGCCGCAGACAATCTCCATATGGACGATGCCCTTGGTACCCCTCCTGTCTTTGGTGGCTACTGCGCCTGTCATGTGCTGCGTCGAATCTATAACGGCCTCTGGCTTGTTGGCCACTGCCATTGGCATATACATAGCCATCACCCTGGGAGTACGGGTGTCGATGACATTGATCTGGCCGTCCCCGAGGGGCAGTGGGCCGGGGATACCTGTCTGGGTCGTTCTGTAGGTGGCATGAGAAATTGTGGTGAGGGCCAATGGTCTTCTGGCCAGTGTGCCAAATCTGTGGCGCATCGAGAATGTGCACATGGCGTATGGGCACAATTCTTTGTCATCATGCAGCCTTAATGGGCAGATATTACCATCGGCCAAAAAATGGATGAGAGATCCTTCATTGACACGTGCAATGGCACAACAGGAATGCATTAAAGAACCCATTGCTACCCCTAAAGTACACAACTTGCTTCCTTCAATAAATGAAGACAGTTCACAACAATGCACCCACAGCATAAACTGCAGAGTCAACTGCTTTGTTCCATTCTGAAACATGCAAAGATACAATGATGTTCTTTTTCCTGCAAGATGGCTGCCACAACATTGCATGTGAATATAAACTTGATCTTTTGTCGCCTGATGGGTGCAAAGTGGCAATTTGATATCTTTGGAAAATGCCATCAATGCCGATGTCCACCTCCAACCAGGTATTGGGTCATAGAGCTCCACCAGGATTTAGGGGCATCCGGGTTCAGGGCCTCTTGGAAGTGGCACAAACTGGCCTGCAGTGTCTTGCAAGTGTTGGGGCAATGTTGGCTCTAAAGAAAAACCACATAGCCAGCAGCGTGGATCCTCACCAGTTGAGCAGAAATGCCTTGCAGGGGCCCCGTTTCTCTCAGGATCGCCATGGCATTCTCACACTGCTGCACGCTAGCGAAAGAGGCCTTCCTGCAAAAGCAGCAAGATCATAACAGTGAGACCTGTCCCAAGAGGCAGAATTAAATTGACATTGCTGGATTTCGTTGTGAATCAACATGTGCTTCAACCTCAGCATCACGCCCTGCATTCATCAGCGCATCTTGCAGAAGTGTGTTAAACTCATGCCTATTCACAAGTACTGCCACACTGGGCTTATATCTGCAAAAGGATCTCACACTCATGCACACCAAAACTGTGAATGAAACATTTATGGAAACCAATCTTTATTGAAAAGGGGAATTCAACAGATGATGTTGTCCAGATGGTGGAGAGGGGCAGTGTCTCTGCAACCCTACCCTGCCTACTGAGATGCTGGCTCCTGCCCTACACTTGAGAGTTTTGCAACCAATCTGGCGGGCTGGGGAAGGTTCCTGGAGAAGTGTTCAATGATAACAGTGCACCATGTGCTGTAGGCAGGCACCACACTCCAGAAGGGACATCAGCAGACACTTGGTGTGTAACAGAGTCGCACGGCACCAATCTATAGCAAAACAAAGATCTGTACTTGTGACTTTGTGCACTTGTGGCACTTGTGACTCTGACTAAAACACATGTCTAGGAGGCTGGCCAGCCAAAATTGATAATGACCAGACCATGCCACACTCCAATCTCCAGCTTTTGTTGTGCTGGTGTAATTATCTTTTGCTTTGTATGCGGAAATGTATGTCCAGCCAATTAAATTGTAGTGGCCTCCTGTAAAATGCCATGATCCTGGGGAAGACTATGGTCTTGCGAGGACAATTATAGCAACACCTGCATGGATACATTGCCACAGCCTGTGCTTGTTGGTGTCAACTGTTGTCTGCACAGCAAGCTGCCACCCTCTGCCGAACATGTTCCTGTGTTCATTCTATTGAACTGAGCAGTCACAGACACTGCAGGTGACATCCTCTCAAGACTCTCAGTGGACTGCTCAACACATGCAACACTGGATAAGATGCTGGCATGGTTACTTTTAGATTATGCATATCTTAGCCTACACAATTCTTTCTGCTTCCATTGAGTATTGTATCTATCAAGGTATGTGAGAAACTGCCGACACTAACATTGCACCTGTCAGCCGATGCTGGAGTCTTACCCAACTCCATCTTGGACGATCTCGGTGTACTGTGCCACACAGCCATTCTCCCTCAAGAAGTCCTTCAAGTCCCTATGGAAGTAGTCATCAAAAGGTTGCTACGGCAATCTACAGTTGGATTGGACAGAGGCCAATCAGCATATGTTGAAGTATCGATAGCAATCAATATGTTGTGATGCCCGTTGGAATCACACACATGGGCTGTTAACACAATTACACACAAATTGGCCTCCTGTGGTACTCTTTTGTACCAAATAATTGCATCCTGTTCAGGTCCAGCTCCCTCTTGATGGAAGAAAGGAGCATCTCATACCACCCCACAAACAGCACAGATGGACAAAAGCACCAACAGGGATTTGCATCAAGTTCCGTTGTTCTTGTCCTTGTCAGAGAAGGGGAGGATGCAATATTGGCACAAACAAAACTGCATCAAATGGTTGCAACTGATCTATGGACAGCTAGTTTTGGGGGTAGGGGGGCTCTTCTCTTAGCCAAGTGCCTTCTCCTTCTCTTAGCCAAGTGCCGTCCACATCATCTGGATGTTGCAACATCGCAAGGGCACATGCAACCAATAACTATCATAACGATATTGCCTAAAAGCATACAGCTTCGGCCAAAACATAATAGCATTAGCAACGTCAAGACGAGACTTACTGCCAGCTCATTCCACGAGGCAGGCCCCAGAGCCTTATCGTTGTGCCGTCCGCTCGCACACTCCTTGGCGCTGGCCTCACCTCACATCCTGGGGCCGGACCCTGCCACCCACAACCACACCAGGATGCATGGGCTCACTGCTATTTTGCCACCGTTACCGCGTGCACATCATTAACTTGCTGCCAGGGCAGTGTCCTGGCATGCCAGAAGGTGCAAGCAATCAAAGGAATGCGCCACTACTGCGTCCGGCTGCATTTTCTTGTGCATGTTTAAAGTCGGCAGAAAGGGGACAGCCTGCCAGGTGCCAATATCCTCCTGGTGCACTTTTTGTCTCCCTGTCTGCCTCTCGGCCCGTTTTCCCTCTTCCCTTTGGGCACCCTTTCATCGGGTCAACAAGCGGGCCCCTGACCATCTTTCGGTGGAACTGGCGCGCTGAACTCCGCGCACGCTGTCCCACACGCAAGAACGCCTGCCGTATCCCGAAGCAGCGCCTCCGCCCAAGGTC